AGGCACCCCAGTAGTTAGATGTTGTGACTTGGACACCTCACCTCTCCAAGATACCTTGAAGGACCTATCTGAGATATAAGACTCAAACCACTGGTGTGCAGTTCCTGAGATGCCATTTTCCAATAGGGTTGACAGGAGAATCTGGTGGTTCACCGTATCAAAAGCAGCAGAAAGATCCAGCAAAATAAGTATAGAAGATTTGGAAGCCGCTCTCTTTATATATAATATAAAATATAAGAATATAAATATGTAAATGTATATGCATGTAAATATTTCCAAAATATATACTGTATGTGTGTGTCTTTACATATATACATAATAAATATACACAGTACACATACATATATTATGTAAACAAAAACTTTTATTTTGGATGCGGTTAATTGTTTGACAGCACTAATAATATAATATAATGTAATTTAATTTGTCAAATTGATCAGATTTTTTTTTTAATTCAAACTTATTTATCAAAGCAAAAAATATATATTCAGAAATCATTTATGTAATATAATGTTTTCTTGTGGTTTTACCGTGTAACGTGAACCTGAACTAACTGTACAATATCATCTCTATATTGTTTAGACACTTATTGACAAAATAATTGGCCAACGTTTTATCTAAAGCTTACTTACATTGCATTCAAAAATATATTTGTGAAAATATATAAATATATAAGTTATATGTAATATGCACAAGTTAATGCATTCACCCATGACCTTGGCATTGCTTGTGTCATTCTCTACTGTTTGAGCAATAGGAACTGCATTTTTAATAAATAAATTAATTGATTCTGATACAAAAATAACATGTAAGCCTGAAGCACAGAGGAGTGTGTCACATTTGATCTGAATCTGACTGTGTGTGTGTGTGTGTGTGTGTGTGTGTGTCTGTGTGTGTGTGTGTGTGTGTGTGTGTGTGTGTGTAGCACAGAGTCCGACGGTGGCCGATTCTCTCCAGCAGGCGTATGCCGGTGTGCAGCACTATGCAGGTGAATCTTTCTGTCTGTCTGTTTCTTTTCACTCTCCTGAATTTTTTTTTTTTTTTTTTTTCCTGAGAATCTATGTCTGCATGTGTTTTCTGGATCAGCATTTCCACCAACAGTCTGCTGTCATGTGACCTCATTTTACAGTTTGTTTTTCAACTGCTTGCACACATTTTCAAAACTTTGCCTCTTTTTTTTCAAAACTTAACACACAAATCCAAGAACTGCACACACAAAATGCAAAATGGCTCACATCTCTTGCAAAATGAAGCACTGCATTCAAAATATCACAAACACATCTCAAAAGCAAACACCTTTGCCATAATATTAATTCCTGTTAGATTTGTGTGTGTTACATAGAGAACTGTGTTGTGTTTTGCAAAAAGTGTTTTATGAAATTGAAAACTGAGTCTAAGGCTGAGAATTAGTGTATGGTTTTGCAGATTTGGTGCATGCTTCTGCTGTTTGAGTGTCAGCTTTCAGAAACTGTGTGAAGTAAAGATTTAGTGTGTAAGCAGTGGAAAAAAACTGTAATACAGCTGCTGGTATGCAGTTTCATAGAAATAAATATAGTTATTTAGCAATTTGTCTTCAATTTAGTGTAAAAAAATATGTTCTGGCAGTTAAAGCAATGTTTAAAGTCACGGCTGGTGTCACTTCTGTTTCTTCTGTCACACTGGAAATGGAAGATCAGGTTGAGTGCATTGCATTGTGGGATGCTGGATGCTTTATTGTGCTCTGCACATACTGGAGAATGTAGCATGTCATTTGTGTACTGTGCACAGTATACATAACTGCATAATACCAGTGATATTTTAGCATGATTTATATATTATTATAGTTTATTTAAATATATATTTTGAATTAGCTTAATTTTTTATATAATTTTAGTTTTGAGTTTAACACTGCTTATCAGTGTCATTTTAGTATTACTTATGTACTAATACAGTTTTTACTAATATTTTAAATTATTTTTATTTTTTATGTACTTTTAATTTTAATTTTAAATTTAACAGCATACTAGTGTTATTTTAGTATCACTTATGTACTATTACTAAGTTATAATATATATAATTTTATTCATATTTTGAATTGTTATAGTTTTTATTTTAATTTTAGTTTTAGTAAAATTTTTAGTCATTTATGTGCTTTTATAATTTTTATTAGTTTTTTTATATATTACTATTTGAGTTTAATTTATTTTTATTTCACTTTTAGTTTTAGTTCTTGTTGAGTTTTGGTTTTATTTATTTCCATTAAGTCATTTTGGTGCTTCAATTTAAACTTATTGTAGTTAGTTGTTATTTCTAATGTTTGTTTAATGTAAGTTTTTTTATGTTCTATATTTAATTTTATTAAGTTTTGTTGCAATTAACAAAGTCTTAGTTTTTTTGTTTTTTTTTACCCTGCTGCATACAGCAAGAAAGATATGTGACCCTGGAGCACAAAACCAGTCTTAAGTGTCAATTTTTCGAAATTGAGATGTATACATCATCTGAAAGCTTTAAATAAGCTTTCCATTCTTTCCAATTTTGACCCATACAGTGTATTGTTGGCTATTGCTACAAATATACCCCAGAGACTTAAGACTGCTTTTGTGCTCCAGGGTCACAGATGTGAATTACTGTAAATAACTATAATAAAGAAAAAAGGTGGAGGGTGAGTCGGAGCTCAGATGATGATGACGATGAGCTTTATTCATGTATTCAGCGTCAGTGCTGTAAGTTGATGTGTTAAATCAGGAACATTAACGTGATTCTCTCTCTCTCCGGGTTACAGCAGCCTATCCTGCCGCTTATGCGCCAATCAGCCAAGCGTTTCCACAGCAACCAGCCATCATCCCCCAGCAACAGCGGGAAGGTGAGTGAGACTCCGCCCCTCCAGGTGACTGACAGGTGATAATTGCTCTGAGAAATCACGACAATCACACCAGAGCTTGAGCAGAAATCATCAGACCTTCATCCATGCTCAAGATCCTGTACGTCGCAGGAAAGATGGAAACCAGAATTCATTTAGCATGTCTTAATATGCATTCCTGACTGAAAAATGATCACTATACCATTTCTGTTGCCAGAAATCAATGCTTGAGTCATAGACCTGAAGAATGAGTTTGGCAAGATTAATTACAGTTAGTTCATTTGATTTAATTTACTGTTAATCAGTTATTGTTTGTTTGGTCTTGTATTTTGTTTTATATTTTGTATTTTATTTATGCATCATCTTGCTTTATTTGATTTGGTTTTAATAAAAAAAAAGTTTTATTTCATTTTATGTTTTGTGTTATTTTATCTTTTTATTTTGTCTGTTATGTTATTATTTATTTTACTGTTAATAATTGTTGTTTTCTCCATTAGCACTGTTTTTATATTAATTATTTATTTTATTTTTGAATTAATTTTATATTTTGTCTTTTTTGTTTGAGTTGATGTTAATATAACATTTTTATTACTTTTGTCTTGTGTTGTTGTGTTTTTATTTTTTGTCTTTTATTTGTTATTGTTTTTAATTTAATAATTTTAATTTTATTTTGTTCATTTTTTATTTTATTATGTTTTCTTTTATTTTATCTTTTATTTAATTTTTATGTTTTGTCTTTTATTTTTAATTTATTTTTTATTGTTTTCAATTTTATCATTTTAATTTTGTTTTGTTCATTTTTTATTTTATTATGTTTTCTTTTATCTTTATTTTTATGTTTTGTCTTTTATTTTGATATTTATTTTATTGTTAATTTATTTTAATGTTATTTTCATATTTTATTTTAATTGATCATTTAAAGTTTCTGTCAGTAAGCTCTCAGGTGAGTTCTGATGTAAAGATTCTTCAGCGTCTGTTTGTGTTTATTCAGAAGTTTGTATTGAGTTAAAATGAAGCTCATTTGTAAATGCACTCTGTTCTTGTGGGATGCATTTTCTCAATTCAATTGTTTCCCAGAAATGAATTAGAAGTCGCTCACAATCATCATAATGTTTTTGAAAAAGCATCTTTACAGAAGAGAAACACAGAGTCTAAAGCAGAAGCTCGCTGCAGATACAAACCTCTCAGCAGCCAAAATCTCTTTCCTTGTTATTTGTTTTTATTTTGTGTTTATTCTTAAGTTTTGTTTAATTTCATTTTAAATATTATTTTTTTATTTTATTGTTTTATTTTATTTTATTTTAACATTAAAATTTTTTTATTTTATTTGTATTTTTATTATTTTTTTGTTCATTCTTATCATTTGCTCCTTTAGCACTGTTTTATTGTATTTTGTAAAAAAAATGTGTTTTATTGTAATATTATTATATTTTATTACTTTATTTGATTTAATGTTTTGTCGTTTTTATTGGATTTGCTATTAATATAAACTTTTGTTTTATATTTTATATTTTTTGTCTTCATTTATTATTTATTCTACTGTTGATACTCCATCAGCAGCTTTATTTTAAAATGAATATTTAAATGTTTATTTTATTTAAATTAATTTCATGTTTTGTCTTGTTTTATTTGCTTTGATATTTTCTGTTATTTTGTTTTATCTTGTTTATTTAATTTTATTTGTATATTTTGTTTTATTTAATTTGATTTTAATATTATTTTTATAATATTTTATTGTATTTCTATGTTATTTATAAATTATTTACATTTTCCCAATTTTCCCAAAAGCCTCAACACCTTACACTCTCAGAAAAAAAGGTACAAAAGCTGTCACTGGGGTGGTACCTTTTCAAAAGGCACACCTTTGTACCTAAACAGTCCATGTTAGTACCTTAAAGGTACATATTAGTTCCTAAAGTGTACATATTAGTTCCTAAAGTGTACATATTAGTTTTGAAAAGGTACTGCCCCAGTGACAGCTTTTGTACCTTTTTTTCTGAGAGTGTAGAAGTGCCTTCGATTCCCGTATCCACATTCAATCAAATCTCCGTTTAACAAAGATGCCAATGTTTGAATCTCTGACGAGATCACCGGCTGAAAACAGGCCTTCTGGGTATGGCTCTGTGTGAAATCTCATTTGCGTGTCTTTCTCTCAGGACCGGAGGGCTGTAACCTGTTTATTTACCACCTGCCGCAGGAGTTCGGCGACGCGGAGCTCATGCAGATGTTTCTGCCCTTTGGCAACGTCATTTCCGCCAAAGTCTTCGTGGACCGAGCCACCAATCAGAGCAAGTGTTTCGGTGAGTTCCCACAATGCACCGCTTCACTCAGCACAAAGTGCCTTTATTTCCCGCGCCTGCACTAATCACTATGCAGTTAGCGCTCGCGTCACGGCCCTCACACCGTTTTCCAGCTCTGCCGCTTCAGGACTGATCACCAGCGCCGTTTTAGTATCATTTATATATATTTATAGTAGAATTATTCATTAGCTTTTATTTTTATATTTCCGGTTTTTGTTTTTCAGTTTCTGTTTAATTTGCAGTCATTTTGTTTGTTTGTGTTTTTGACATTTTTATTAGTATTTTTTTTTTTTTTTTTTTTCAATTTTACTGTTTAGATTTTATTTCTATTTATTGCAGTTTTGGTTTTACTTCAGTTTTAGTTTTTTTTTTTTTCTTCTTAACTTTTTTAATTAATTTTAAATCATTTTTAAATAAAAAAAATTATTTTTTGCTTTTATTGTTGTGATTATTTTTATGATTATTTTAATTCCTTTTTATGTGAAGCACGTTGAATTACCGTTGTGTATGAAATGTGCTATAGAAATAAACTTGCTTTGCCTATTTCCAATTACTAATTTTTTTATGGCAATTTTAGTGTTTCAACTAATTTTTCACCAGTAAGTTGCCATGGCAACATTTCTACTTTTATCTCATATTTATATTTTATTTTGTATTGTTATTTCACAAAAAAAAATGTAATTTTAGTTCCATTTTAGTTTTTTTAGGTTTTCCATTTGTTGTCAAATATTTTTCAGCTTTATTTTAAGTAACAATTTTTTAAAAACGATTTTAGTTTAGCTGTGTTTTAGTTTTTATTCAACTTATTTCAATATAAAGTTTATAGTTTGTTTCAGCTTTTTTCTGTTAATAAAAATGTTTTTTAAATAGAGTCAGTTTTAGTTGAGTTTATGTCAGTTAGGCAACATTTCTGATTTCCTTTTTAATTGAAGTCTTTCGCCTTATATTTATAATTTATTAATTTTGTCTTAGTGTAGTTTTAAATTTTATTCAACTTGTTTCAGTTAGTCACCCAGGAAAAGTTCTATTATTTTTCATCTAATATATATATTTTATTTTGTTCAGTTTTATTTCAGTTAACAAAAAATGTTTTAATAGTTTTAGTTTCTTTGCCTAATATTTATATTAAATTTTTTTAGCTTTATTTTAATTAACAAAATAGTTTTTAACAGTTTTAGTTTTAGTCTTTATTCAACGTATTTCAGTCAGTCACAAAGATAAATTAATCTTTTTTCCTTTTAAATATATTAAGCTTTATTTCAATTAACAAAGAGAGTTGTAATAGTTTTAGTTTTTGTTTTATTATCGATAATAACAGCTGCATGGAAAGCGTGAAGTGCATTGTTATATTTCTCATAATGCCTTCACGTCGACGCATGCTGAGGTCTCTTTCTGCATCTTTACATTTAAACCTTATTTTCCTGGCTATTCATTAAGATCTTGGCAGACAGGAGTGCGTCGTCTCGCCCGCGGCTCCTAAAAGCTGCAATAAAATCAGATAAAGCCGCTGCTCAGGAAGGAAATTAAATCAGGTGTTTTTCATCATCTTCCTCCGGTGTGGAGAGGAACATATTCTCCCTCATTACTCTCTCATGTCAGCCGGCGCTGGAATTAGACTCGGTGTGCATTTATCACCGCAGACGCGCTAAACACGCGTGTTTATATGAACACGGACTCTCTGAAGCGGAGCTGATGTGCTTCAGTCATTGATTGTTTCGTGTACAGTCTGTGTGTGGAGCTCCAGACGAGACGCAGATCATTCAAACTCTGTCCTGACGGGCCTCTCGAATGTGACCCTGGAGCACAAAATCAGTCATGAGGGTCACATGGTAGCTGAATAAATAAGCTTTCCATTGATGTATGGTTTGTTAGGATAGGACAATATTTGGTCGAGATACAACTATTTGAAAATCTGGAATCTGAGGGTGCAAAAAAATCTAAATATTGAGAAAATCATCTTTAAAGTTGTCCAAATGAAGTTCTTAGCAATGCATATTACTAATCAAAAATTAAGTTTTGATATATTTACGGTAGGACATTTACAAAATATCTTCATGAAAGATGATCTTTACTTAATATCCTAATGATTTTTGGCATAAAAGAAAAATGTATAATGTTGACCCATACAATGTATTGTTGGCTATTGCTACAAATATACCCCAGCGACTTAACACTGCTTTTGTGCTCCAGAGTCACAAATATTCTTTCGGGACAATCACTGAACGTGTGTGAACTTTCTAGCGCAATCAAATTCTTTTTTGTGCAACATTTTATTTTGAAGTTGCTCACAGTTGTCATCATGGGTTTTAAAGGTGATTTTTGAAGTAGTTAAGTAGTTTGTAATGATTGTTGTTTGCCCGGCGGAGTGACCTTCAAACTCAGTCGCTCTGTCAGTTTTATTTCTTTCTTATTATTTGAATTTATTTTATTTGTATGTTTATATTCATTTATTTTTACATGTAAAAAAAATAAATAAATATATATATATAATTATCTATTTAAACTGTAATAATATTTCACAATTTTTACTGTATTTTAAATGCAGCCTTGGTGAGCAGAAAAGAGGAAAAAAACATCTTACCTACTCTAAACTTTTGAACAGATTGCAGTAATAGCTGATTAGTGTCATAGAGTTCATTGGTCTATTTTCCCAGTAACAGACGAGCAAACAGACACAGAGCTGTGACTGTGGTTTGGTTTGGAGCTGTAATGTCTGTCATTGGCTCGTCTCCTCGTGTTTTCATCTGTTTGCCGTGACTGAGGTTTATGAGGAGCTCGTCTCTGTCTCTCTGTCCTCCGTGTGTTTAGAGCCACTGTCTGATCTGCTCTGCGTCTGACAAAAGCAGGCAAATTCAGTCAGAGCTGCAGCGTGTCGATGAAATCGAATAATCAGAGCGATAAGAAGAGGACGGGAGCGAGATCCTGTAACATAAGACGCTCACTGTTTGTTCAGTCAAGCATCTCTGACTGTTTCTCATACTGTGATTTAAACAAGTATTAAACTTCAGCGTGTAACTCATCGAACACTGAATGAGAGTATGCTGTAAAAAATCTAAAGTTGAGAAAACATAAACGTTTAAGGCAACCAGAACTCAAAAATCTGCTGAAGCGGGTTGCCTTAAACTTTTACGTTTTCTCAACTTTTGATTTAACTTTTGAATCGCAGGGTAAGAATGTTCATTTAGCTGTTTTTACTGATTTTTAAGATAAGATTTTTAATGTTTTTTAAAGAAGTCTCTTCTGCTCACCAAGCCTGCATTTGTTTGATCTAAAGTACAGCAAAAACAGTAAAATTTTGAAATATTTTTAGTATTTAAAATAACTGTTTTCTATGTGAATATGTGTTAAATTGTAATGTATTTCTGTGATGCGCAGCTGTATTTTCAGCATCATTACTCCAGTCTTCAGTGTCACATGATCTTCAGAAATCATTCTAATATGCTGATTTGCTGCTCGAGAAACATTTCTGATTGTTATTTTAAATAGTAAAAATATTTCACAATATTACTGCTTTTGCTGTATTTTGTATCATATAAATGCAGGCTTGGTGAGCAGAAGAGAATTCTTTAAAAAATATTAAAAAATCATTTGACTTGTAGTGTAAGTGATTTAACTGTGTGGTGAAGAAAAGATCAGTGACTCGTCAGTAACTGTTTTAACTAAATGTACCTCGGGAAAATGTTTTTCTCCTTAGCACTTTAGCAACTTTATAGCTGGTGCATTTTCTCAATTTCATTTTGTACTAGAATTTAATTTGAAGTCGCTCACAGTTGTCATAATGAGTTCTGAAGGTGTTGTGAAGTTCATTTGTTTGTGATGATTGTTGTTTGCCTGGCGGAGTGACCTTCAAACTCAGCTACCATGACAATTCATTCATTCATTCATTCATTTTCTTTTTTATTTGTTTCTTATGTATTTTCATTTTTAATATGTACAGTCTTTGTCATGCCATTATATCAAGGTTTCCCAAATTGGGGTTCATGAGGGAAGTTGATGGAAAGCAAATTTTTTATTTTAAGTAATTTGATTATATATAAAAATATTCAT